TGTCTGTCTGTCTGTCTGGTGCTAACCTGTGAAGGTGGCGCCTGGTTGCAGGTACGAAGACGAAGCTGGAGCTATGGCGCCACAGGTAAGTCTCCCTGGCCTCCGCCAACCATCTCTCTCTCTCCAACGCTACTCTAGCTCCTAATAGCACCCAGCGCTGAAGACTACTGCTAACGCTAATACTATTACTACTGCAGCGCTCCTCCAGAGTGCTGCTGCCGAATCTTGAAGACTGCCTCCTGCCTCCTGCACATGAAGTGCCTGGGAAGTTCCTAGGAACTACCTCGTGACTACCTGCAGCCTGTAGGGCGGGCCAGTCTTATATAGTGCTGGCCCGTCCAGGAAGCTGCTCTTGCCAATGCCAAAACGTGCCAGACCCTGGCGTTGAAGTTCAAACAAAGGTTGTCTTGAAAACAGGCTAAAAATGGCCTGTGCTAAAACCCTGGCCTGTTGCCCAAGTTTCAGGGCAGGTCGATCTTATGAGGGCCTGCAAATGGACCTCCATTTCAGGCTGAAAAGACTCAGGGCATGGAGGGCCCTTTTTTAGGCTGAAACGACACAGGGCCTGTAGGCCCTTGTTTTCAGGCTTTTAGGTTGAGAACGCTGGTCAGGCCCTGCGGGCCCGTGTGGCTGCGCACAATGCCACCCCCCTCCCTCCTTGAAAGACCGAGCTTACCTGCGAGGGCGAAGCTGTCTGTCTGAGGGAGGGACCAAAGTCCGGGTGGGAGGGGCAGTTCGTGAAGCTCCCTTAGCTAACCTTTGTCGTTCGTAGTAAGCATAGATCAGCGGTGCGGATGCTTTCAAATCTGCTCCTGAAATCCATCGAGTGTCGTCGGAATCGCATGCTTTGAAGGTAACTTTGTATTGTCGAGGCTTGCTGCCGTACTTGCGATCCGTGATGACGCAGTCAACTTCCTGATGGCCATCCATAAATGGAGGATCTTGTGATTGTGGCCTCGGAAGTCGTCGCTCTTAGCTGGTGTATATGTCGCCAGCTTCAGGGCGTGAAAGACTGGATGGACCGTCAGATGCAGGGGAATGTTGATCACAAATGAGGGGCCATCGGGATCATTGCCCGCGGCTGATGTTACGGGCCATGGTCCAAACCACTTGGGGAGTAGTTTGCGCGAAACATCCTGCTCGAGTGCAAACTCTTCCCCGGAGACCCAAACCAGATCCCCGACACGGATGGGACATGGCACGTGACGCCTGTTTGCTTGCTGCTGCATGCGGACTTGAGCCTTTTGCATGTTTGCGCGGGCTTAAGCCAACAATTCCCTGTACTTTTGGACGGAAGCGGGGGAGCAAGCAGCGTCTATGTCGGTTGTTCGTGGGAGAAGAAGATCAACAAAGATACGGCCTTTCCGGCCACCGTGGTGCAACTCGAATGGAGTCACGCCGATCGCCGGATGCAGCAAAGTGTTGTAGGCGAACTCGATGTTGGGGAGGCGGTCAACCCAATCCTTCTGATGCGGACGGATGAGCGTACGAAGCATCATTTGAGCGGTTTGATGTGCGCACTCCGTTTGCCCGTCCGTTTGTGGATGCTGAGCCGAACTTCGTTTCATCTTCGTGTCGGATTCCTACATGAGAGAAGTCCAGAATGCCGACATGAAGCGAGTGTCGTGGTTGCTGACGATGTCTTCCGGTACGCCGTGGCTGCAAATCCGGCCGGTGTGCAAGAGGCGCTCAAGTTCGGGAGCAGTGGCGTAGTACTTGCAAGGGAGAAACTGCGCGTACTTACTCAAACGGTCAACGATCGTGAGGATGCCGTCGTGCCCGAGGCGGTCGCGGGGAAACGGACCGGTGACGCCCATGGCAATGGAGAGGCCGGGTTCCCGCGGGATAGGCATCGGGCGCAACTCGCCGTAGGGATTGCAGTTGCGGGGCTTGCTTCGTCGGCAAACTTCGCAAGAGTCGCAATACCGAGTGACATCGGTAATGGGGTTGGGCCATCGAAATCGTTGCCGAAGTCGTGCAATAGTGCGATTGACTCCGAAATGGCCTGCGAGTCGCGAGTCATGGCACTTGCCGAGAAGGCGAGTCCGAAGACAACGGTCTCGTGGGACACACAATAAGTCCTCGCCCCGCGAGTGGAGGAGCAAGTACCCGTCGACGATGCGATAGTGGCTGGCCGGCGGGTGATCCGGAGATAGTTGCGCATACAACGTGGCGAAATCCGGATCGGACTGAAGTGTCGCTGGAGTTCCTCGTCAAACGCGAAGGCATGATGTGTCATAACGCAAGGATCGGGTATTCGCGAGAGTGCAGCTACTGCGCATTTGGAGAAGCCGGCGAGATGTTTCGGTGTGAAGTCAAATTGGTCGATGAAGTACATCCATTGTCCGATCGTGTTGCTCACCATATCCTACGTCTTGTAGTAGGTCGACGGGTTGTTGTCCGTGACCCATGTGAACCTACGACGCCGAAGGAGGAAGTACCACCATCGCTTGGGAGCCACCACGAACGTGAGCAGCTCCTTCTTCCTTGCATCATCAAGTGAATTGATGGGAGGCACTTTGTGGCTGAAATACTCCACGGGGTGCCACTCGTCATCGTCGTGGTGTTCCAAGACTGCCCCAATGCCATAGCCGGAAGCATCAGTTGTCACGCTCGTTGGCGGGGTGGGGTCGTAGATGCTAAGGACGGATGCCATGAGCATGGTCGTCTTGAGTGCTTGGAATGATCGGCGTGCGTCGTCATCAAATACGAATGGCACCTTTGGCGATTGTAATCTCGTCATAGATGCGGCAATCCTTGAGTACCCGGTGATGAAGCGTTGATAGTAGCCCGCCAACCCCATGAATGAGCGAACGTTTGTGGTGTTGGTGGGCTCGGGCCATACGCGGATGGCCTCGATCTTGTCTGCAAGTGGACGGATGCGTTGCGGCGTCACATAATGTCCCAAGTACTCCAACTCTTGTCGCGCGAATTCGCATTTGTCGTGGTTGGCTTTGTACTTGGCTTGTTGTAGCCGTTCCAAAATGGTGCGTACATGCTCCACATGGTCGTCCAAACTCGGACTGTACACCAAAAGGCATAACCAGCCATTCGAAATGCCCATATCGCGTCTTAAACGCGGTCATGTAGCGGTCCTCCTGCCGGATCTCGAGTTGGTGATATCCCGATTTGAGGTCAAGCTTGGAGAAGAACTTGGCGTCGCCCAACCGTTCGAGGAGGTCGTCAATGCGCGGAAGAGGGCCGGCGTTCTTGACGGTTTGCGCGTTCTACGCGGGGACGGAATCAATGCATCGGTCGATTGACTTGTATGTTTGACCTTCGGCCAACGTGAGTTGCGTAGGCTGCAACTTCCTCCGAATGCGTGGGCCAAGGCCAGCACGTATCATAAAGTCTTGGCTGATATAATTGCGAGTAGCTCCACAATCAATCAAAGCGTTGCAGGTCGCCTCTCCGATCTGAATGCGTATGTACAACAATGGCGTGTCGATGTCGTCGTACCGTTGTGTCTTGAACTCGCGGTCGATCTTCGCAACATAGTCGTGAAGGTCAACAACCTCTACTCCGACGTCCATCAACGGAGTTGGTATTGCAGTGTGCAAGTAATCCCGCAATTGTGCCTTGAGCACGTTGCAATACGGTTCAGCAATCGACCGGTTGGGGGAACGAGCATCCATTGGAAGTCTGCGAACGTCAACGGGTCGAGCTCTTCAAGTCTTGACCATGACGTCGAATCCCCGGCGATAGATGGCGGCGACGCTGCCGAATCTGTTGCCAATGGTGGTGAAACCGTGCATGCGGTGGATTGTTGCACGTGGAGTGGTTGGTCCAACGGTGGGACCAAGTGGACAGCGTAATCCTCGTAAGTGAACCAAGGACTCGCGACAGTCGCATCCTCCTTGGATGCGTAGGAGGCCGCTAGCTAGGCGGCCGAATCTGGCGGAGTGAGAGGTGGAGTCGGCTCACCTCCTGCGCAACTCAGTTTCTCAAGTTGATGCGAGGCCGAACATCCTCCTTGCCTTGATCCGGGCATTGGGAGGTCTTGTGCTTGGTGCTGTTGCACCAATAGCAGCAGCCATACCGGCCGCGTCACCTGTATTCAGCCTCGGTCAAGTGAAACTTGACCCATGGTGCTGGTTGTCCGTTTCCGGGCGACGATGCGGTTTTCGCCTTCCGTTTTCCTCGGGAGTTGTTGTTGCTTTGCGGCTGGACAGCGGCCACCTGATCTCCCTCACGTGATGCTTGGGTGGCTGCCGGGTCTTCCACAATGTTGTCCGGTTGGACTGCAGCGACATGCTGCGGACGCGGACCAAATTTTCCTTTCTCCACATAGGTTGGCTGCCATGCTGACTTCTCGTGTGCAACCGCGCTGTTGGTCTTGATGATCTCCCTTGCCTTGTTGATGATTTCGGCGAAGGTCGTGTATTGCTCGCGATCACCAAGTGCAAGGCTCAAGGCGGCACATGACCGGTTGTAGAACTCCCGACGCATATGCGAAAATGGCAACTCGAGATCGGGCATTGCCATGATCTTTTGCCATTCCGTGAGCCAGTCGCGTGTCGGTGTGTTGCCTTAGGTCATGGCGAAGAGGCGGTTGATGGTGAGCGTCGGGGCTTCGTCCACGATGAACCGCTTCTTCCATAGCTTCGTCAACTCTTTCCAAGAGATCTTCGTATGTAGATTGGCGACCTGGACGCCGTGGATGGTTGCCAGGTGGCTGAGCCAGATCTGGCATCCGCCCTTTGAGTTGAGGAACAGCGCGCCGATGTACAAGTGCTCGGGGACAAAAAGAATCCGAAGTTCCGTCGTAAAGCCCTCCCACCAGGGGACCGGGTCTTGATGCGTATAATCATCGAACTTTTCGATGCGGAATGTCAGCATCTTGTAGTGCTGCGCACTGGTGTTGCCATCCTTGTTGGGCAGCTGGTGCAGTTGCTGAACCTCGGTCTTCAAGGTGTCCAGCTGCTTGCTGATGGTGGCTGGTGCAGCGAGGGTGCTGATGTCGCCGAGCATTGCGACTACGTGGTCAACTCGTTCCTCCAATTGGCGGGTAGAGGGTGCACTGCTGGTCTTGGTGCAACTTGCTCCAAGTCCTGTACACGGGAATCAAGTGCCCGTGTAGCATCCTCGTGCAGATCCTTGTGGTTCCGCACTGCCTGTCGGAGATTCGCCAGCTCGGACTGCAGGTGCTTACAAGTGTAAACCAACCGGGTCACGAGTTTGGCGAGAAATTCCTTGTGCTGCTCTTCCAGTGTCGTGTCTTCCTTGTGCTGCTCTTCCAGTGTTGTGTCTTCGTGGTTCTCGGATGGTTCAAAATGCCAGAACTTGAGCTTTTTTATGCTGGCGGCTTCGTGCCGCTGTAGCAGATCCTGGGCCTCCTTGCGGCGGACCTGGGCATCTTCGTCAGCTTCGGCCTGCAGTCGCTGCTTTTCATCTACTGCCGTCGCTTCAGCCTGTAGGCGAGCAGCCTCGGCCGCCGCCTGACGCTGTTCCTCAGCCTCGATCAGTGCGAGCTGAGCTTGGAACCGCTGTCGGTACTCGGCAATGGACTCATTGGTCAGTTGGCCGGGCATGCCCAGAACTGAGACCGTCATGGTGGCGGGGCACTGCTGACGTGGCACTGTTGCTGACGTGGCACTGTGGACATGGCACTGCTGATGTGGCACTGTTGCTGACGTGGCACTGCTGACATGGCACTGTACCAAACCGGGAATGCAGGCAAAAGGTTGGGTGGGAGGGAAAACGGAGGAAGGTAACCAACCAAACTGTACTTTCCTCCCGGTGCTAATCAACAGAATAAAATAAAATAAAAAATAAAAGAAGAGGATCACCCCCCCCCTCTCTTTTTTTTTGTATATCCGTCGATCTGCTATGAGTGAGGCATTTCAGAGGAGTACTATGAGTGAGATCTAGGCAAGGTTCTGCAAAGTTTCGGCTTTCAAAAAAATGCGATCTTGAAAAAAAAAATTGCGCTAAATAGACTGGAAGTTCCACTTTCAGAGAAGGAGAAATCCAGTCTCCGAGAATATGACAACCTCTATCGTTATCGTAATATGCCTAGAAAACGAAATGCTAACATCAGAAATTTTCGGCTATGTATGCAAATATCAGAAATTTTCGGATGTTAATATCAGAGAAACGAAATGCTACTATCGGAAATTTTCAGATATTTGTTGCGAGAATTTGGCCGAGAAAGAAAAAAAAAAAAAAATTGCAGAGATTTGACGAAGTCCTACTTGATTTACTAATAAACAATCGATCAATCAATCAATCAATCAATCAATCAATCAACAATCAAAAGATCAAGCAAGCTGGCTACTTGATTGGGCGGATCCTCTGATTGAGAGGTCCGCTCCGATACCAAACTGTCGCATACCGTAAAGGTGCAGACCAGAACAAGAACCGACTCTCTCACATAGTACAAGATAGCGCAGCGGAAGGATAATATACCAATGATCCGAACAATCAGTGTTGCAATGCAGACCAAACATACATCATCATCACTCCATGGAGTGAAGTGGCCTGGCGCTCACACAGGAAGAATGCGCCAGTCCCCAACCATACACAGACGAAGAGGAGGGGGGGTAGACGAAGAAGAGGGGAAGATGGGAATGTCGTCAACACCAAGTCTGCGGTACAGGTCCCAAATAATCCCTCGTCCAATGTCTCAATCCCAATGTCGAGTCTGAATCCAAATGTCGTCAAGTCCCAAAGTCACCAATCTCTCTCTCTCTCTCTCTCTCTCTCTCTCTCTCTCTCTCTCTCTCTC